TAGTGATAGCCGTGCATGCCGTGGGGGGTCGCGGGGGGAGGGGGCAACGGAAATGCAAAAAACGATATTTGTGTATGATACAAGTGTGTATAATCGAGCAGAGAATTAGGGTGCCCTTGATCTTGCCCTACCGATTTTCGCGGGTCCAGGCTTTGTTTCGCAAGGAGTTAACCGGAAGGTGGCCATCATCCTTGCGGTTGCTGTGCCACACCGGATATGCCATGGGTTGATTGGGCGTCCCGGCTAACCAAACGTTTCACGTTCGGTAGGAACGGCTACATACTTCAAGTACGTTTCACGTTCGGTAGGAACGACTACATACTTCAAGTCCATTTTGTTGTGTGTTGGTACTGGACCCGAGCCGCCGCCGCCGCCACGGCCGGGAGGCGGTGATGAAGTTGGTCCTCTGTCGGGCGTATGCTTTCGGCTACTACTGTTAAGTCTCGGTGCATTGCGCTGCTGTCTCTCTCGATCCCCTTGTCGGCTGCCGTCTTCTGTCATTTTCCTGTCCGCAGGTGCCCCGCGAGACGGTGGTGATGTTGATCCGCCTGCTGCACCTCCTGACGCCGATCAGACCCCACCGACTCCTACAGCGCACGGTGCTCAACCTATGCGCCGGGCACCCGCTCGTCAGGTGACTTTTTGAGATTAAACTTGCCGCAGTTTTTTTTTTTGGTACCTCGTTGTCGTTGTTGCTGTTGCTCATGTTGCTTTGCTGCTGCTTGAGCTGTTTGTTTGTTTTTTTAGGCATGGTTGGCGTAGTCTCAGGCGCTGCGGGAATTATCTACGCCTCTCCCCATAACACGGAACAGAACAGAATAGGGAGTGTCTGTGGACTAAGTGGCCCCGTGATTTTGGCCTGGCGTTTTTCTCGTCGTATTGGGCGGTGCAAGGCACTCTGGGAAAGAAGTTTTCCCAGTTCGAGTACGCCAGGGTTCGGGGCACATCGGGCGGTTGCGAGGCGGCGGGGGGCGGGGGGGCGGGGGGCGGGGGGTCAACATATCACGGAATGCGAAAGTCTTGGGGGGATTTTTTTGCGGAAATTTATTGGCGAAGATACATGTTAAGGATCCCGTGCACGCACTTGTTTAGTCTAGGCCCTGTCACCATTCTCGGATTGTTGGTCCCCCCCCGTTCCCTACCATGCATGATGTTGTGCCACCCCCCATCCGTCCGTCCGTCCGTCCATCCGTCCGCTCATCCATACCCCCGCCCCGTTGTGATGGTGTCCATCGCGTCCGTCGATCACTTGGGTTGTATTCCAGGCGGGCGGTCGTCCAAGCGTTGGTCCACATGATCAAATCAGACCCACACCGACTACGGCTAGCGCTCCAGGTTGGTCGCGTCTCTGTCCTGCTCTTGCAGTATGTTTCCTCCTCTCGTCGTCTCTCTCTCTATACATATCTCTCTCTCTCTCTCTCGCCCGCGATTCTCTTTTTAATAGAGTTCTCCCGGTTCTTCCTTTGTGCTTGTGGTTTAACGTTTAACTAACGTGTTTTGCCTGTGTTGACGTCGCTGGCCCAGGCTCACGCGCAATATTCTGTTTGCTTCGTTTTCAGATGATGTCGGTTTAGAAGTCTCAAGCAACGATCACCGAACAGATGGGATTCTTACATTTCTACGTCGATGATCAACTTGTTCTGGGTGTACGTTTACATCGTCCCTTGTTGGTTCCGTGGGAGCATAACTCCCCC